GAAATTCGGTGATTGGTCTTAGGATATTTGCAAGAGGATAGGGAAAGGGTAAATGTGGGGATGGAAGTTCGAGGCGGCTAGCGTTTCGGAAAATCCCAGTAGGAGAGGAAATCGGATATCAGAGAAGGAAAAGACTAGTTTGCTAATTAGAAAATTGGTACAATGGATAGTAAAAATGTGCTAAGTTGTCGTTCGGTAAACGTTTTACGGGGGTACGCTTGTCTGACGGTCCCGATAATCCTCTGCATCGAGGCTCGGTCAGGGCCGGTTTATGGTTTTTTTTTTGGGAACCGTCGTCCCGTACGGAACAACATACTTAAACGATCGTTTTTTCTATTATTGAATACAAGGAAATAATATGGTTTTGATTACGAAGAAATTCACAATAATTCTTACTTGGCTGACGACGCATCGTCATCCGTAATCGTGTTCGAAAGTGTATCGTTTCCCAAGTTTGGTTTCGGCGTGCTTACGACTACGATTAATTTATCTAAGGAGAAAGAAATAGTTAAAGGGAACGATGAATTTCACTTTTTTTTTAAATTGATGGAAATTAACTTACTAAAATATGCATCTTCCACACTAGGTAAATTCGAAAACTCGACGAATTGCGGAGATTGAATGTTTGGAAGTGACGTGGTGCAAATGATTACTCGCCAAGTGGGTAACAAAAATATATTTATTTAAACGTAATGCTTAAGCTAATTTCAAATGTACTATGTGATGTTTTTCCAAACATCTCTCGATTCTTCGCCTCGAGGGCCAAGAGTCGCCAGGCCTAAGTGCGTGGTCCCCCCGTGGCGGTCGCCACAAAAGCGATTCCATTTTTCATCTTTATCCGAATTTCTACATTTGCTCCAAATGTCACCAGGCGATTTCAAGGGCCAAGAGTCGCCAGGCCTAAATGCGTGGTCCCCCCGTGGTGGTCGCCACAAATGCGATTCCATTTTTCATCTTTATCCGAATTTCTACATTTGCTCCAAATGTCACCAGGCGATTTCAATCTGACATCGTTTTTTTTTCATAAGTAACTCAACGGTGTCACTGATTGTTCATATTTACTGTTTATCGGTGTTGCTGGTGACGACATTATTCTGGATATTATCGAGATAAAAATCCTACAAATTGTATTTTGTCAAAGCGTGAAGAAAGAAATAATTTTTGTAAAAAGATTTCCTTCGAAATTTCAATTATTTGAACTCACAATAATGTTTTATTCCATAACGTTCGAACTGTCGCGTCGTCGAAGCAAGCCGTGTTTACGAGTTGTGGCATAGCTAAAGTCCGTTCAAAATCAGAGTATGTAACCTCTCTCTCGGACCGATTTTCATCCGTTCTGAGCAGTTCTCACTACCTAGTACTACCTACCGATGTGACGCATGCGATTGGTCGTATACTCTGTTCAAAATGAGAGTAACCTCGCTTCGCGCATGGGACGTGCCTAAGGCAGGGCTAGAACCACTGGAACGTCCAAACTCCCACTTAACCCATTTCGGCTAGGCCCAAGAGCGACGTCAACGTAAACAGTGCATAAGAGTGGAGAGAATCTACCCGGTGGTCTAAAAGTATGCGCACTTACTGTGTGCATGTTAACGCAGCGGTTTATGACAGACAAATAGTGGCTAGTTGTATGAATTTAGCCGGACAAAATAAAAATATCAATATTTAGGAAACGATTCAAAATCATTTAAATTCTTAAAGGACATATTGTAAAATACCTAATTTTATTAGAATCATCTTAATTGCTAGAGTAAATGATGATGTGTATTCAGTCATAAACTTGGTAGGGGGAGTTCCCTTAACGCCGGACGGCACCTAATATCGGACATTAGTTATATCTGCAATAATTGAAACGCTGCCGAGCCGTTATTCCGCGTATCTCCTAGAGGAGACAAAAGGAATAAAAACAAGCTTTCTACGCGTTTCAGTCGCGTGTGCACAGGTAGAGAGATTTATTTAAG